ATGAGGATGTGGCGTTTTTTCTCCTGGTAGTGGGGGTACTCCTCCCCCTCTTCTTCCAAGTTTCCAATCTCCCTCTTCTTTCCGAGGGGGATGGTATTCGGGTTTACCCAAGCTTTTACCTTCGTGTGGTGCCCTCGGGGAGGCCCCTGATGAGAAGGTCCCTCCTGCCGAGGGCTCTGAACAAATTGGGACAGGTGCCCCGCTTGTATTAACCTCTCGATGGCCGTCTTTAGTTGATGGCAGTCATCGGTCCTGTGCCCCTGGTGCCGATGGAAGCGACAGTATGGGAACTGAGGGTTGATAGCATGTACCTCCGAGGGTGCGCGAGAATCGCGCTCAACAAGGCCCCTCTCCTCGGCAAAATCGAGGATGATGCTGACGGGGTGCGTCAATGGTCTCCGAGGGCGGTCCAGGAGAATGGGCTGTGCCCAAGTCTTAGGGTTGCTCTTATAACCTCCCCCGGGCTTGGCTTGGCCTTGCCGAGGGCGGTCATCAAAGGGTCCCGAAGCCTTGGGGTGATTTGGAGGAGCCCCCGGCCCTCGGTTATGCTTGTTGTCAGTCCTCGGGAGCTGCTGGTCCGGATGCTGGTGATACTTCTCCACCTCCTCGGCCTCAGCATATCGGTCCCCCCGCTGCAAAGCCCTTATGTAGTCGCGGGGGGGTTCAATGATGAGGCTCCTTGAAAAGTTGCCGGTGCGGAGGACGGTTTGTAGGAGGGCCAGGAGGGTCCCGTCATCAGCACCGTCGACCTTGTCGGCCTCCGTCCTCCAGCGCTCTAGGAAATCCCGAAGGGTCTCATCCCTCTTCTGGCGTATTGTTAGGAGGTGGGAGAAGTGCTTCCTTGTGCGACGCCTCCCGGCAAATTGTGTCAAGAATCGCTGGGCGAGTTCCTGCCACGAATCAATGCAGCCCTCGGGCAGCCTGTTGAACCATTCGTATGCCGACCCCTCTAAGGTGGAGAGGAACCAGCGACACAAATATTCGTCTGACGCCCCTACCATCATCATGCTGTTCTGGTATTTGCTGTAATGTTCCTGGGGGTCCGTTTTTCCGTTGTAGGGCTGTATGTGTTGCCCTCGGTATTTTTCCGGGATCCGGGCCGCCAATACCCTTGGGGTAAATGGCGTCCGAGTCTGGAGCTGGATGACGGGTTCCCCGGAGCCCTCGGCCACCTTCTTCTGTAATTCCTCCATTTTGGCCATCATGGCCTCGTATTTGAGGTCTGAGTGAGGGGTGGAGGTGGTGGCGTGAGCTTTGTTGGACTCCATTTCGTCAAGCCGGCGTTAGAGGGCCGTGATAATCTCGTCCCGGGGATCCTTCGGGAGGGTCTCCGCCCCCTGCGAACGAACCCGGGCCGAGTGGGCCTAGTTGATTTGGTGGCGAGCATCATTGGCATGAAGGGGTGCCTTGCCTTTGTCCCGAGGGGGACGCTCCTCGTCTGCCCTCAAAACAGATCCCCCGCTTTCCTGGGGCCTTTGGAGTGCTTTCCCCCCGAGGTGGTCTTGGACCCCTCGGCGGTCTGGCCCTCCTCCGAGCCGGTTGAGGGCGGAAGTACGGGGTCTTTCCCTGTTGTCATTATGGCGGTCCCGGGACTGAACTTCCTGGGAGGACGTATCTTGGGCCACCACCCCTTCGTCGTTCCTCACCCGAGGGGTGGGATTTCCGAAGGGGTGTGGCAGAGGGGGAAGTATGATGTTTTCCCCAACCTGAGGGTGAGCTGGAGCCAGGGTGCCGAAGGCACCCGGGTTCTGGGTGAGCGTTTGGATGAAGGCGGAGAGCGCCGATTGCACGTCGATGGTGAGAACCGGGGGGCTGACTTGGTCATCGCTCCGGTTTTTCTTTTTGGCCTCGATGCCGAGGCGGGCATCGGGGGCATTTTGTTGGATCTGAAGGCGTAGGTCGACAGCCGCCTGTTCCAGCCCAGCGATGACACCGCCCTCGGGAGCCCTGTGAGAGGCTTCGGGGGCGTTGACGTCGCCGAGGGCCAGGTTCTTGTCTTCTACGTTCTTTGAGTTGGCACGTGTTGTTCTCACCATTTTGATAGAGGGCTAGTGTTTCGTGTTTGGTCGAGGGGGAGGGTTTCTTACTCGATTGTTCGACCTCTCAACGAGAGCACCAAATGATGGATAGTCTACCCGGGGGTATATATCCGAAGGGTTATTACGGGGAATAACTTAGAGAGAAGTCAGAGCAAGTAAGTAGATGTAGAGAGAGAGAGTGTATTCAGTATGAATGCCGTTTTCAGCGTGGTTACAAATGAGGAAATGGGGTGCTATTTATAGTAGCAATAAATGCCGGACAGGGACACGTGTCAAGCGCTCATTGGCCGAGGGGTCACCTCAACTGGTTGGCGCTGGCAGCCGCATGTGGCCGCATTTAATGCGGCTGTTGGATGGGACGTCTGTACAGGGTACGGTGATCTGTACGCATGTGAGGCGGATATCTTGTCGAGTGAGATGCCTTCGACTATAGAGCAGTAGCTGAGGGCTCCTCCAACCGATGGCACCCTGGTGCCGAGGGCTCACAGTGCCGAGGGCTACTGTTTTCGCCGTTTTCTCCCAGTTTCTTAGTTTTCTTGAGAAACCCGTTCTGTGAGAGTTTAGAGCCTTCGGCCAGGGGGCCGAAGGCACCCTTGGCGCGTAGTGCGGGCTGCTTGGTACTCTGGGCGCTGTGATTTGGGCCTGTTGGGCCTTCGCTGGAGTAGTAGGAGTCTGTGGGCCGGGGGTTCCCGGGCCATATACTCCATCATTGGCCCTGGAGACGGACCCGCCACTTTCCTGAGGCCTCTGGAACGCCTTCCCCCCGAGGCGGTCTTGGACCCCTCGGCGGTCTTGCGCCCCTCCGAGTCTCTCGAGGGCGGAGGTCCGGAGTTGTTCCTTGTTCACGTTGTGGCGGTCTCGGGACTGGACTTCCTGGGAGGCCGTATCTTGGGCCACGACCCCCTCGGAGTTCCCCATCCGGAGGACCGGGTTACTGAGGGGTCGTGGATGAGGGGGAGGCATAACATTTTCCTCGACCTGAGGTTGGAGGGGAACCAAAGTGCCGAAGGCACCCGGGTTCTGGGTGAGCGTCTGGATGAAGGCGGAGAGTGCCGATTGTACGTCGATTGTGATGACCGGAGGGCTAATTTGATTCTCGCTCCGGTCCTTCTTCTTGGCCTCGATGCCAAGGCGGGCATCGGGGGCATTTTGTTGGATCTGCTGGCGTAGGTCGACAACCGTCTGGTCCAACCCGGTGATGACGCCGCCCCCGGGAGCCCTGTTAGAGACTTCGGGGACGTCGACCTCGCCGAGGGCCAGGTTCCTGTCCTCTACATTCTTGGAGTTGGCGCGAGTTGTTCTCACCATTTTAGCTGGGTGTTTTGTGTTTGGTCGAGGGGGAGGGTTTCTTACTTGATTGTTCGACCTCTCAACGAGAGCACCAAATGATGGATAGTGTACCCGGGGGTAGCTTATCCGAGGGGTTATTACGAGGAATAACTAGAGAGAAGTCAGAGCAAGTAAGTAGAGAGAGAGAGTATATTAGAAATGTATTCAGCGTTTTCAGCGTGTTGTGTCTTGTGACTCGGTTACAAATGGGGAAATGGGGTGCTATTTATAGTAGTAATAAATGCCAGACAGGGACACGTGTCAAGCGTCCATTGGCCGAGAGGTCACCTCAGCTGGTTGGCGCTGGCAACCGCATGTGGCCGCATTTAATGCGGCTGTTGGATGGGACGATGTACTGGGTACGGTGATCCATACGCATGTGGAGCGGATATTATGTCGGAAAAGGTGCCCTCGGCTGTAGATGACTAGCCGAGGGCTCTGAGTACTGGGGACCCCCTTAGTGCCGAGGGCTCCAGTTGCCGAGGGCTACTGATTTTCGCCGTTCTTCCCAGTAACTTTGTTTTCCTGTTTTGGCCCTTCTGTGAGGTTCAGAGCCTTCGTCCAGGGGGCCGAAGGCACCCTCTGGTGCGCATTGTGGGCTGCTTGGTACCTTGGGCGCCGTGATTTGGGTCTGTTGTGTTTCCTGGGCCTATTGGGCCTTTATTGGAGTAGTAGGAGTCTGTGGGCCGAGGGTTCCCGGGCCATATACTCCATTAAGTATAAGGGTAACTTTATATTGAAAAGTTGCCAAAAATAGAGGTGTGAAGTTTATTTTGGACCCATCCAAAAAGGAAAGTGTGAAGCTGCTTTAGGATCGGAGGGAGTGTCATATATAAACAATACTCTTTCCGTCCCATAAAATAGTTCCCACATTGATTTGGATCGGAGTTTAAGAAAGTGAAAATAAAGTGGAAATGTATGGTTGTGGTTGAGTTAGAAAAGGGTAAATGAATGTGAGTCACACAAAACTTTCCTAAAAGAAAAATGAGAACTATTTTTTGGGACGACCCAAAAAGAAAAGCGAGAAACATTTTGCGGGATGGAGGGAGTATACTACTAATATTTTCTTAGATAATCTTTAATCCGTGCAACGCACGAGTGAAATACTCTCTTCGTCCCATAAAACTTGGTCAAATTTCCATTTTTCACTGTACCAAAAAACTTTGTAATTTTCATTAAAAAATAACAAATACTCCCTCCGTCCCGCAAAGAAATTCTCGGTTTGACCTACACACATATTAAGAAAATAAATTTACCATGGGGTAAATTTTACTGTTTCGACACTGTTTGACATTGTTTTGCACTGTTTGGTACTGTTTTGAAGTAGATTACTTCCCCATTTAAGGAAAGATGAACTTCTTTTTGGGAATGTTAAAAAAGGAAAGAGAGGATTTCTTTGCGGGACGTAGGGAGTATGTGGTTAAAACTATTTGTTTACCCTCTCAGTAACATTCTGTGCAATTTTATGGGACGGGAGTACAGTTAAATCAAATGACCGATGAGAAACCAGATAAGGGGGTGTTTGAATTTAATTCTTAAAACTGCTTCTGCTCTTTCAGGGAGCAGAAACAGAAGTAGGAGTGTTTGAGTAAAAGTGCAGTGATTCTGGTACTCTAATTTACTCAAGAAAAACTGAAAACTCATTCAAAATCCTTGATCTCTCACTCTATGCACGAACACCCCTAAATTGGGTGCCTAAACTTCGCATCATAATCCACTGCCCTCATTTTCTCCGACTATCGGTCGCGAAACAGCCCGAACTGAATCCGTGAAGCAATGTCTCGATCCTTGATCTCTCACTCTATGCACGTTGCATCACCCGCCTCACGTAAGAAACCTGATTTTCCCATCCTTCACCGCCCATCCGCCCACTTTACGGCCAGTCTTGGTCCGCAGCTCCGGCTACCGATGTTCCTCCGATCAGCTGCCATCCCCGCTAGAAGCTGCACTGCCCTCGCATTTGACTTTAAAGGTGGCCTAGGGTACTATTTCCCAAAATTTGTTATTTTAAGTGAATCGAGAACTATTCTCTAAATTCTTCTCTTTAATAATTTGGTTGTTGGAAACCTGTTTCATTCTGGTCATGAATTCACATTTATGCAAGAATTTATTTTGTAGAATATTGAATTCAGGAACTTCATCTTTGATTTTAATCTTGGGAGTGTAATTCTCTAGAATATATTTTAGGGGTCTGTTTGGAAAAGGGAAATGCTGAAATGCCAGGGAAAGAAAATAGAGAGGAAATATATGATTTTTTTGGGAGGCAAGAAAAAAAGATTTGTTCAAAATCAATAAATTTATTTTTAATGTATGTTCGAATTCATTTTTATTAATTTACTTGTATTGTATACGAAGTAAATTCTAAGCAATTTTTGCATAGAATGTTTTCAAAAACATTGATCGTATTTCATTTTCCTTTTCATTTTCCAAGATAAATTCAAACATTTAGAAGTAACTTAACACTATTTAATTTCTGTAGCATTGTCCGGGATGCATAGTGTAGAGAAAGAGCTTCTTGGAGAAAATAAGCCAACCAGTTCGATCATATGTTGTACTTCAATTCCAAACCATGTATGATTTATTATTTCGAGGAAAGTAAGCATTTTCTGATAGACACTGGCAATCAATTCAGAACAATTGAATACAACGACAATCAAAGTAGAACAGTTCACAGGATTTTATTGAATAAGGAAGAAATCAAAGTAGGTGTACAAGCTTATGGACCATTCGAGATGCCTAGTCTCCAACTACCAGCCAACAGAATTCTCACCCGCCTATCTCATCTTTCCTACTTTCTATTTATAGCCACCTGTCAACTTAAGGCACACCCGCCTGACTTACCACTTATTTGAATCACAATTCACAACTGATTATTTATTCCTCCTTTTGTACACCTTGTCAAAATATTTAATAGGCTGGGACACCTGCCTATCATTACTCCCCCCTGAAATTTCACCTTGTCCTCAAGGTGAAGACCTAGAAATTGATCTGCTAGAGCTTGTAATGGTTCCCAAGAATCTTCAAACTGTGGTAGGTCCTTCCAGTGTACTAGGACTTCTATCTTGCCTTCTTTGTTCATCCTTGAGTCCAAAACCTCTTATGGACTGACTTGTAGTTCCCATTCTTCATTGAGGCATTTAGGTAGAGGCTGAAAAACAGTTGTAGGGGATAGGGCCTTCTTTAGTAGGGAAATGTGAAACACTGGATGCACTTTACTATCTTCTGGGAGTTTAAGCTTGAAGGCTACAGAACTGAGTTTCTCCATTATCTCAAATGGACCATAGTACCTAGGACTGAGTTTCTGTTGATTCTTTTGGCTAAACTCTGAAGTTTATATGATTGAATCTTCAAATAGACCTTGTCCCCAACATTTAGAACCACCTCCCTTCTATGCTTGTTTGCTTGCTGTCTCATCTGATTTTGGGCTTTTTCCAGATTTTCCTTCAACTCTTTAAGTATCATATTTCTTTGAGCCGTTAGCTTAGAAACTTCCTCCACTGCAGTCAAAGTGACATCCCCTCTTATCACAGTAGGGGGTTCCTGACCATATAGAGCTTTGTAAGGTGTCATTTTCAATGAAATGTGGTAATTTATATTGTACCAGAATTCAGCCCATGCCAACCATTTAACCCACTGCTTAGGCTTACTCCCTGTAAGCACCTCAAATAAGTCTCCAAGCATCTGTTGACCACTTCAGTTTGGCCATCAGTCTGGGGATGATATGCAGTGCTGTTTGACAATCTCCTTTGTAAATAAGTCAGCTACTTCTTTGGCAGTAAAAGGGTGGGATAAAGCCAAGAAGTGAGCTGATTTTGTCAGTCTATCCACCACCACCATGATAGTGTCCTTCCCCTGTGATGTAGGCAGACCTCCTATAAAGTCCATGCTGATATCAGTCCAGATATTCTGAGGAATAGGTAATGGCTGAATCAATCCGGCTGGTTTTAAGGCTTGATATTTGTATGTCTGACATGTAGGGCATTCTTCCACAAACTTCTTTATATCCTTCCTCATTCCATGCCAATAAAACAAATTAGAAACCCTCTTCATGGTCCTGAAATACCCAGAATGCCCTCCTACTGCTGAACTGTGATATTCATTCAATATTTTGGTCACTCTAGGGGATGCACTAGGTAACACTAGTTTCCCATGTAGTAGAGTAACCCCTTCTTATTCTGGAAATCTGGATATTGGTCTGGCTTTGAAATCAGATTCTGAAGCAGTGTCAAACATTTAGGATCCTCCAGCAATTCCTCTTCTAACCCCTCCCATTCTTGACAAGTAACAATGGATAGAAAATGTAAGAATGGTCTTCTGGATAATGCATCTGCAACTCTGTTTTCAACCCCTGGTTTGTACTTTATAATGAAATTAAACCCCAATAGCTTGGAAGTCCATTTTTGTTGCTCTTCCCCCATTAGTCGTTGCTCAGTCAAAAATCTCAAACTTTTCTGATCTGTGTGGATTTCAAACATTCTTCCCAAAAGGTATGGTCTCCATTTCTGGACTGCTAATACTATAGCCATCAGCTCCCTCTCATACACTGATCTATGCTGATTTCTCTGGGATAACTTTTTGCTCATATAGGCAATGGGCCTTCCTTCCTGCATAAGTACAGCTCCCAGACCTGTCCTAGATGCATCAGTCTCCACTATAAACATTTTATCAAAATCTGGTGTTGCCAGTACTGGCAGGGTAGTCATAGTTTTCTTTAACTCCTCAAAAGTCTTGGTAGCCTCTGGTCCCCAATGAAAACTATCTTTCTTCAATAGTTGTGTTAGAGGTAGAGCAATCTTGCTATATCCCTGTACAAACCTTCTGTAATAACTTGTCAGTCCCAGAAATCCCCTCAACCCCTTCAAGTCATTGGGTTCATGCCACATGGTCATTGCCTCAATCTTTGTGGGGTCTGCAGCTACCCCCCCACCAGATATAATATGACCCAAGTAAATTAATTTAGACTGTCCAAACGAACAATTCTTTGCATTAATCACCAGCTGATTATCTTGTAAAGCCCCCAGAACCTTCCTTAAATGTTCTTGATGTCCCTCCACTGATTTGCTATAAACCAAGATATCATCAAAGAAAACCAATGCAAACTTCCTCAGAAAAGACCTCAGAACTTGATTCATAAGGGCTTGAAAAGTTGATGGCGCATTTGTCAGACCAAAGGGCATTACCAAATACTCATAATGCCCCTCGTGAGTCCTGAATGCAGTTTTCTGTCTATCCTCCTCCTTTCAGATCCAGCTTAGAAAAAATGGTTGCCCCACCCAATTCATCCAAAAATTCTTCAATGATGGGTATAGGATACTTATCAGGGATAGTAATTCTGTTGAGAGGCCTGTAATCACCACAGAATCTCCACTCCCCATCTTTCTTCTTCGACAGTAGAATAGGACTACTGTAAGGGCTATTGTTGTGTTGAATTATACCCTCATTCAACATTTCTTTTATAATCCTCTCAATTTCTGTCTTCTGGTACTGTGGGTACCTATAAGGTCTGATATTAGGAATGCAAGCTTCTTTCTGAATGTGAATGGCATGATCACAACTTCTTCTTGGTGGCAATTGCTTCCTGGGTTGGACCACTTCTGGGAATTCAGCCAATATTTGCTTCCAATTGTCATCTTCTGCCCCCCTTCTACTGAAACTACAGATTTTCCTTCACAAAACACCAAGTACCCATCCCCTGCTTCTTGTAATATTTGAGTCATGGTTTTCAGTGAAACTTCCAAAGAGTTTAGCTGTGGATCCCCTTGTATCATCTGCTCCTGTCCTTGTTCCTTCCATCTTATAGTCTGCTTTTGGAAGTTGACTTCTACATCCCCCAAACTTGCCAACCACTCCATCCCCAGCACTACATCGGTTCCCCCCAGTTCCAAGATGTAAAAATCTTGCTGTACCACTGCTTTCTGTAAACATAAAGCTAACCCTTCACATCTTCCATTGTTAGCTATTTTATCTTCATTCCCAATCTGCACTTTATATCCTGTAATGATTTGATAGGGTATTTTCAATTGATTTACCAACCCTTGGGATATGAAGTTGTGAGTAGCTCCACTTTCAATCAAGACATCCACTTCCTGTTCTCCTAGCTTCCATTTTAAGTAACCTCTTACTTTAAAAGCTCTCATGGAAGGAACGCCTTCCTTGCTCCATGAGTGACAGTTGCATGGATTTGGATTCCATGACAACCTCCTCCTCATCTGAACTGATTCCATTTTCTTCCTCACATTCTGCTTCTTCCTCAGAATCTTCCACCAAAATCAGTTTGTAATTTTTCAATTTGAAGGTGTGTTCCTTACTCCATTTGTCACCACACTTGAAACATAGGCCTTTTCTACTCCTTTCCTGATACTCCTCCTTTTGATTCCTGAAGGATGAATCTCCGTCACTCTGGCCCTCTTAGGATTGAACCAGGGCTGGGAATTCTTACTACCTGATCCATTCTTCTCACTATTATAAGTGCCAGCACTGCCAGATTTGGACTTGTACCCTTCTCCCCAATTCTGAACTTTCTCCCCAATTCTGAACTTCAATGGTATGGGTCCTCTCTCCTTCCCCATTAATTTGTCATCCTCCTTTCTTTTAGAATAGATTGTCTCGTTCTTCTGTTCAATCAGTATAGCTCTATCCATGGTTTCAGTTAGGGACTTGGAAGCATACAGTTTCAATTCAGATTTCACTTCCTTCTTCAAACCTGTGATTAAATTCCCCTTCAACAAATCTGTATCCATGTTCTGTTGTGGTGCCATCACCATTTCAAATTCCTCCCTATACTCCAGCACGGTTCCCGTTTGTTTCAGACTCAGAATAGGTCCGTAAGGGTTCTGAATTAACTCTGGTTGAAATCTATGAATAATAGATTTCTTCAACGCCTCCCAACTCGTTTCTTCAGTCTGATTCTCCCACAAGTGAAACCAATTCAAGGCTCTATCCTCCATAGCAACCATAGATGCCTCAACCTTCTCATCATCATCAATATGGTTCAATCGAAAATACCTTTCCATTCTAATAATCCAGTTATAGGCTCCTTCCCCGTTAAACAATGGTAAATCTATCCTTCTCCCATTACGTACAGGTATTCTCGCATTTTCATCACTACGACGATGATCATTGATATTAGAATGAACCGAGTTACCTCTTGAATGTACGGGACTGTGTGGCGATCTGCCTATCACTTTCCTACACTGCCAAACGCTTTAGGGAATTTATTTAGTTTTCCAACACTGAAGCCACCATTTTCTTTCATAATATGGATGTTGGCTTGTTAGTTGTATGATTGGTTAGTGTTTTTAAAGTATTTTGAAAGAAAATGAGGATGAGATTTCAACTTTCCTCTACTTTAAAATCTGCATTGCGGCTTTATTTAGCAGAATGGTTGGATTACATGAAGTTGAACTTAAAGTGCGGGACTATGAATTGGATCAATATGGTGTGGTAAACAATGCTGTATATGCAAGTTATTGCCAACATGGTGAGATTATTCTCCTAAACCATTTACATTAAGCGTCATATGACACACACACCTTTTCTTGTCTTTTCTGCTATATTCATCTATTCTCCATCACTCTATGTAGTTAGCTTGGCATGTGATGTCATGATGGTACCTTTGATGCCCACTCTTAAGTCATAGCTATTCACTGGAATGTCATATTTCATGATTGGTAGTACCTTTTCACAAGTTGCACTCTTGGTTATATACCGCATCGGATATATAACTTTGAGTGTCTGTACAGCTTAGTATCATCAGCGAACAAGTTCTTGGGGTTCCGGAAAGTTTGCTGTTTTAGAAGTGAAAAATTATATTTATGATTTGTGAACCTAATTTCTTTCTGATGGTATTTTCTAGTCAGCCCTGCTTCTTATACACACTTATTTGTACACGCCCGATACACACGCTTGTGAAGCATGTGTATGGGGTTTGTACAAATAAGTGTGTACAAAGAATTCTTTTCTTTTCTAGTAGATGTTGTTGATTTTATGAAACGTATCTTTTTAAGTTCTCTTTCACTAATTTTCTCATGATTCTATATTATTAGAGTAAAGCTAAATAGAATTTGGTTTATCATAATCCATGGAACTTGTTTTTTTAATGTCATTTACACAGCTCGGCATGAACTTCTGGAAAGAATAGGTGTAAATGCTGATGCAGTTGCACGCTCTGGTGATGCATTAGCACTTTCAGAGCTTTCACTTAAGTTTCTTGCACCTTTAAGGGTTTGTGCCTTTTCATATCTTGGACATTATGTTTCATTCCATGCCTAAAGTTTCTTAAATCCTCTGGGCACACAGATATGATCTGTTCAGAACTACCTGATTAAAAGAGTCAGAGTTTTATTGTAACGAGTGTTAACCGGTATTTTAATCTGAGAAGTAATGATCAAAATATAGACCGGGAAAAGTCTGGAACTGAGCAATCACACACACATACACACTTAACCCTTTTATCATAAACAGACCTTGATAATTTCATCTCCACCTTTCACTTTTGGCTTAAATAAGGGTTTTTTCCTCCAAATATTATGTTTTTTGGCCTTACGTCCTGCAAATTTTTATTTTGCTTTTGATCCCTGTAATTTATGTTGCTATGCTTTTTAGTCTCTCACTGATCCTAACCACCCCGTGAGACAATAAAAAAGAACGACTAATAGATTTTCTATCTTTATCATGTCACTTCAAAAATATGTAAATTTATTTTCTAGAGAGCCATTAAAACCTACTCCGTATTTTAAAAACGTGAATTATTATATTCACTTCGTTTTAAGTGCAACATTAGTCTCATTTTTCTAAAACGATGAAGTTAAAAGTTTTGAGTTATGTAACTGATGCTTCTAAATTAAGATGGGCGTGGAATTAGATAGGGCCTAAAAAGACAATAGTGTGTATTACAAGGATTTGAAACATTAATGTGTCAAATTTGCAGGGACTAAAAACATATCATAATCTTCCTTTTTCCACCAATGACTAATGTTCATAAGGTGATATTTTTGTAATTATTTTAGAATAATTGAATGACCCTATTTGAATTTAGAATAATAAAAAACTGTCACATTGACACTTAAAGTCCGTCTGGTAATACCAAAATCGGTTGAATCTGCTCATTTTGCTGAAATTTATGAAATTCTTGTTGGTGGCTGTATTGGCTGATTTATGGGAACAAAATAATTAAAATATATTTTATTAATAAATTAAAGAAAAAATTTTATATGTAAAAATAGCTAAAATGGTCCTCTAGAGTAACTTCAGCCAATACAGTCAGAAATTTAACTCAAACCTTACCTTTTCTTATTATTACACAATTCAGTGTGTGAAATCAAAAGTTACGTGTTTGATAAAAAGTTGTTCTTTGAGCATTCCATCTTCAAGCTCCCAAATAAAGAGGTTAGTTTCTACTTTGACTGTAATTTGCTGGTCTGTTTTGGTCTGCTTTGTTTTGGTCTGGTCTGAAATTTTACTTTTATATTTTTTGCATAAAGATTTTATTTTTTATATATATATTATAATCCATAAATAATTATATTTTATTCATTTATAATTACAAATAAAAATAACAATAACAATAATAATAATAAAAATAATAATAATAATAATAATAATAATAATAATAATAATAATAATTAGGGGTGTGCACTATCCGGTTTAAACCACAAAACCGGACTGAACCGGACCAAAAAAACTGAAACCGGATCGAACCAGAATGATGTCCGGTCCAGTTCGGTCCGGTCCGGTCCGGTTTTGAACCGGTGCACACCCCTAATAATAATAATAATAATAATAATAATAATAATAAAATATGGTCTGGTCTGTTTTAGTCTGGTCTGTTCTGTTTTGGTCTGGTCTGGTCTGGGATGAATTATGGTCTAAGTAAAAACAACCTAACTTGTAGTAGACGCAGAAACTATCAAGATATTGAAACTTTTTATTTTGTTGCTTTTGTAGCCAATTCTAGAGGCTAGAGGTGTAGCAGTTTGGCTCAACAAAAATTATCGCCCGGTACGCATACCTCCGGAGGTCAGAGCCAAATTTGTTCGGTTCCTTCGCGAGGAGGAATAAGACTAACACTTGCAGTAAAGGGGCTCTTATAGTTCTACCATAGATTTTTGTAATCTTGTGATGTAAGCTTGTAATTTTGGGTAGGAAGCCTATACTTCAACCTTCATTCTTCTAAATGTGTTTATAAAAAAAGAAACACATTTTTCTTATTTTACTTTATCAATTCAATATCAATCAAAGAAACCCATTTTTCTTATTAACCGCATCATTTCTTCATGTTGCAATGTTCAGAGGTAGTAATACCTAATCCTATTTAGGAAACTAGTAATTCCACCCGTGCTACGCACGGGAGTGAGATGTTTGGATCAACCAAATATAAACTCAAAGAATTTCATAGTCAATTAACCTAACTCAAAACATAAAATTAAAAACTAAAACAAACTAATCACATTAAACAATAAAATAAAAATAAGTATTCATATTTAATACGACATTAAAAAATAATGCTAAAAGTTAAGTACATATCATGAAGTGATATGCTAGCAATGAGTATGGATGTATGCATGTAAAGCAAGGGAACTACAAATTAGTATAAACTTCTTTGTATACTACATTCAACGCTGACTTCTTTGGTTTCCCTTCTTCGTCGCATATAACAAACTTTAACCCAGACGGACTTGTTACTCTCGAGATAGCCATGTACAACTGTCCATGCGTAAAAACAGGACGACAGAGGAAGATGCCAACCTTTTCCAATGACTGTCCCTGGCTCTTGTTGATGGTCATTGCATAGCTAACCATTAACGGAAATTGCCTACGCTGAAAAGTGAACGGGAGACTAATGTCCGATGGTGTCAAAGTAAGGCGGGGAATAAGAAATTTTTCGCCGGCATTTTCTCCGTGCATCATCTGAGCCTCAATAATATGAGTTCCAAGTTTAGTGACCAGAAGTCGTGTGCCGTTGCACAATCCAGATGAATGATCGATATTCCTCATAAGCATCACAGGAACTCCAACTTTCAGCTTGAGCTCATGACTCGGCAAGCCAGAACATTTGATGCTATTAAGAAATTCAGGAGAATGTATCTCATGCAAGAGATCATTACTATCCGAGTCGGATGAAGAAACTGAATCTGAGCTTAGGTTTGTCTTTAACTCTGAATCTATGTAGCTCAACATGTAATCGTTGACCTTATCAACCTCATCTATGATTGGAGCAAGAATAGCCCTGGAATAAAGATAATTAATCGGATCACCCTGGGTTAAGAAATCTGGATAAATAGCTTGAGCTATAGATTCAACAGGATCAGACGTCATTGGAGCAATCATATCGTCTGGTATTTCAATTAGTGATTCTCCGTCTTGATTTTCAGCAAAAGCTCCGTCACCAATCTTCAAAATCCACTCTGCAAAAGATTGGATAGTTGGTCCATCCGGCTGGCCGAGCATCCTTGCTAGCCTCATGTTTTTAGTAAGCCTCACTACAGTACAATGTGACCACAAGAATGAACTGTTCAGTGCGGCGTGCACAATATCTTGTCTCGTGTCTTTTGGTATCACAGGAAGAATTTGCCTAAAATCACCACCAAATACAATCGTCTTCCCACCAAAAGGCAAGGTAGTGTCACAGTGGCTGGAGTAACGAAGCACGTCTCTCATACTCCGATCAAGAGCTTCAAAACAGTGTCGGTGCGTCATAGGTGCCTCATCCCATATAATTAACTTAGATAACTCTATCAGCTTGGCCAACGGACTACCATGTTTTATGTTGCACGTGGAGTCTTCTACAACACTAAGTGGAATCGCAAACCTCGAATGTGCGGTTCTTCCTCCAGGCAAGAGAAGCGATGCTATACCACTTGAAGCCACGTTAAGAACTATATCACCGCGAGATCTCACAACCGCAGACAAAGTCCTCCATAGATATGTTTTCCCAGTTCCTCCGTGACCATATAAAAAGTAGAATTTCCCGTTTCTACTATCTACATATTCCATTATCCTATCATACACAACACGTTGTTCATCTGTCATCTCGGCCAACAACTTTGCATGCTCCTCAATCAGATACGATTTATTATACCGCAACTCTTCATGAATGAGAACTTCTTCAAGCGAGGGCATTTCATCATCAGGTAGCAAGGGTATGCCGGCAAAATCACGTAGTGATCTACCTCTCGACTGCAAGAGCTTCTGAATCTCCAACAAACAGTACTTTTCAATTTTCTCTTTATCCAGTTCAAAATCTGCAGTAGCGCATTTAAATATTTTAGTACCTTAGTTAAGATTAAACTAATAAATCAAATATTCCACAATATATACATTTCATCACAACCAAATTACACATGCAATACTTCTAACTTTAATTAACATGCACATAAAGAAAACATGTTTACTAATTCAATAATTAAATGTTGTATATTTTATTAAATTCATCACTCAACATGAAAAGATGCATAGCTTTTTGTATTTTTTAAGTGAAAATGTATAGTAAAAATTAAGTAATAGTAAAAGTGCTATTATTTGTATTAATTGATAGACCTTTATTTGTTAAACCTTTTAGATTTTTTCTGTCAATTTAGTAAATATAATAAGTTCACTCTACGTATATTTTTTATACTATTATGAAAAAGCATCCAAGAGGCATATATAACACAGTAAGAAGTACTCCCATAGTAAACTACGTTACTGTACATGGTAACATAGTAGAAGGTATCGTTCATATTACCTAAATAAATATTTTGTAATAAATAATTTTAATAAGGTAATAAACTACTAACATTTAGTATATTCAAAAAATATTTTTTATGATGATCTTTTTCATATATATAAGTAATGATTAGCTCAGGTAGTTGTTACGTTAAACCCCGTTCGAACTTTCCTATCACAGGTAGTTCCCGGTGATAGTTTTTAATGAAATTTTGTGAGTATTCTCATCATCAAGTATAGTTTATTACCGCCAAATTTAAAAGCAACTGCGCCAGAATGTACACGAAAAATGCAGTCATTTTCCATGATATATTCAACTGATTTCCTGATTTAATTTCAAGGTGAAAATTTGTGGATATAATCTACACTTCATGAGGAAGGTTCTCATAAAATTTCATTAAAAATTTCCAACGGCATCACACCTGATAGTCAAGTTTGGACGGGGCTTCCTTGCAAAACTACTTGATGTGATCTTTTTCGTATATATATTAATATACTATCATGTACATTTTTTTATCTCACTTAATATGTCATTAGCTATGTATGTAAGACAATCAATTAAGTATTTCATCGAGAAGTAGTTATTGTAGAACTAAAATATATAAATTTTTATAAGCGAGTAATTCACTAAAAATAAAAAAAGATGGTTTAGAATATAATATACCTGGATTACCCGTATTCTTGCGAATATTGTATAGTATGTCATCAGAGAAAAACTCCCAACACTTTTGCCACACTAAGCCTGGCTTCGAAAACTCATTTGAAACCAGTAGAGTAGCAAATACAATGCGAAGTGACCGTGAAGAAGACCAGAAGATCGCATCTGTAATGCCATCAATAAACTCCTTGTCATCTTTAAGTAAACCACGCGCGTGGCACGCATCTCTAAATGTAGGATATACGGTCCCTTCATAAGTCCTCAACTCCTCAAAGCTGGTTGCTCCCTTCACAATATTCAACAATATTCGTAGGTAGTACTTCTCCCCTGCTCCAGGTCGTACATAATAAATGCGTCCAATAGCAAATCCTCTCTTTCTTTCTACCCATTCCATGGTATTTTTCTTCCACCTGAATTTGCTTGGAAACGTCAGCTCTTTGGCAGTAGGATACACTTGATTTGCTTTCATCCAAGCCGTGAATTTTGTGGAGTTGATTGTTGGTTTATTCAGTACTGAGCTTATAGATGCATTGGGATTGTAGTATACGTTCTGTGCATCAGGAAGATGAAAAGTGAGACGCTCAACTGGTACATCTCGATAATGAATATGGAATCCGAAAATTCTCCAAGCAGCCTCACATGCGGATATATACCGACAGTCATAGTACATCTTAATTTCATCTATTATTTTTGGAGTAGAGTTATCTATAGCTTCTGAGAACTCCACGGTTATCCGATCGTCACCCTTATTGATGTAATTAAATAAGTACTTAACTGCCTGTGTTTGGTTACACCACTCGACATTAATGTGAGCACTATACTTCAACAATAAGCCACGGTTGTGTGGGATGACATATCTATTATCGAGATCGTGGGTATTCTTAGTAACATACTTGCCGTTGTCTCTGCGTCTGTAAATCGGATAACCTTGCTTATCCATTGTCGTGCGAACGACAAATCTCTTTGGAAAGTGCTTTGTGCACCGGCCTTTTTCTGTGCATGGTGCAGATGCATTCATAGGGCCACACAGACCGTGGATCATTAATTCTTTAACTGCATTGTAATACACAGGGTCAGCATATTCATCTGGGATCTCTGCTGAAATAATTCTATCGATCATCACCGATGGGTTTGCATTGCGCTCTGTCATCGAAAGCCACAATACAATGTGCGCATGTGGTAATCCACGTTTCTGAAACTCCACAGTGTAGACAACTGCACAACAAAATTAAAATAAATGTTTTTGATTAATAAGATAATTAAATTAAAATTGTCAAGTGATTGTTATATTTTTTGCATATATAAATGACACATGTTCTTTCAAAAAAAAGTGACATGTGTGCTTAAGGATATACACATATAGGTTCTCTATCGCATAACATTTTTTATGTATTTCACATCATAATTCATCTTTAAGAAAATGTTTTTTATATTTCAAAATTAAACTGAACATAATATGAATTTCATTACTTTTATAAAACCATAGTCGTCTATATTTATATGTTTAGCAGCCAATTTCTAAATCTGTTTTACAAAAATATACAAAAACACAAATACATAGTACTCCGTATCTAAATCGCCTAAACACATACATACATAGAGAATTCATTTCATCCGGCAGTCCGCACCAAAACCACTGTCTATATGTATGACTAATTTTCCTGTCTGTCCGGACTGACCATAACAGCCATTCGGATGACGCAATCTGAGGACCTTCCCGGTGGACGTTTTTGAAGATATTTGGTGATGAGATTATTCTTCATGAATTTTTTATTGTCTCCAAAAAGTTTAAACTTAAAATTCAATTGAGAACCTAATAAAATAAATCATTAAAACGCACTACCCAAAAATATGCATAAAAAACACATTGTCATTCAAACAAATATTTTAACTTACTTTCAGATTGAATCTT